AGAAAGAAAGAGAGAGAGAAGGAGAGAGGGAGGGAAGGAAGGAGAGAAAAAGAAAAAGAAAGAAGAAAGAAAGAAAGAAAGAAAGAAAGAAAGAAAGAAAGAAAGAAAGAAAGGAAGAAAGGAAGGAAGGAAGAAAGAAAGAAAGAGAGAAAGAGAGAGAGAGAGAAAAAGAAAGAAAGAGAAAGAAAGAAAGAAAACTAGGAAGCATCCAGATTGCGTGTTATCTGAAATGATTCTTCCTTGGCCTTTGGTGTGACTCAGGTGAATTTCTGAGGCCAAATGGGGCTGGAGAGTGCAGGAAAGGAAGGCAGCCAGGCCCATGGCTGTCAGGAGCCCTCCTCAAGCAGCTCCAGCAGAGGCTGTGTCCCGCTGCCCCAGCGTGGCCAGCCCGGATATTGCCGTCTTCGTCCTCTGCACAGCCATCACTTCCTAGGCTGCTGCTGTCTTCCATCACATTGGGTTGGAAGCACCCATGTCTGTGTGGAAGGACTCTACCCCTCCCACCACCATTTCCTCCTCATTCTTCCCCGGCCAGACCCTGGCGGCAGGCCCGCCTTGGAATGCAACCCTGTCACCCAGTGAATTCGTTCCCAGCAGGCCTCCAAAGTGGCTCCAGTCCTTATGGTGGGAAGGTGGTTTGTGGCAAACCCTCAGGGTTTGTGGTCGCTGGGGACAAAACTGCTTCTGGGGGAGAGGGTGAAGGCGGGGGAGAAAAGGGGGGGACACAGCCTGGCTGCCTGTGGATCCAGGCACTCATGGAGCAGGGCAGGACACCTCGCTGAGTGCCATAACCCAGGCCTGGGGGCACGAGGGTCCTTTCTTGCTCCAGGTTGTCCTCACAAGAAACAGAACTCCCTCCTACCTTATGGAGACTTTCATTTCCTTGCTGTTTTTGACAAACAAGAATGGTCTTTGTAAATAGAATGCACAAGCCTTCCCGTTCACTTTTCATGGATTTCTAAATAAGTGACAGGGCATATGTAAGTGTCCCTTCTTCTGAAGGCCAAGTGTTTTCCTAGCACTGATGTGTGGCCTTTACTATGAGGTGCTGATTCATTTCTACCCCATCTTATTCTACAAAAAATTCAAGGCAGCTTACAAAAATATGTACAGTCAGACATGCAGAAACCTCAGGCCCAGAAACATACCTATCAGAAGAAAGGATTAAGACCAGGCTGGGCCCATTGGCTCATGCCTGTAATCCCAGCACTTTGAAAGGCCAAGGCAAGTAGATCACTTAAGGTCAGGAGTTCGAGACCAGCCTGGCCAACATGGTGAAACCTCATCTTTACTAAACATACAAAAATTAGCTGGGCATAGTGGCACACACCTGTAATGTCAGCTACTCAGGAGGCTGAAGCAGGAGAATCGCTTGAACCTGGGAGGTGGAGGTTGCAATGAGCTGAGATCGCGCCATAGCCCTCCAGCCTGGGCGACAGAGCGAGACTCCGTCTCAAAAAAATAAATAAGTAAAATAAAAAAGACCAGTGGGCAGCAAGAACTCACTCACAAGTCATCAACCCTGTGCAGTTATGTGCATAAAGCTGCAAGAATGGCTGTGGACTTTCTGCCCAAGATAAGGGAGCTGACTCGCTGCAGGGTTCAGGGCCCCCGGCAAGGACATGAATATTGGGTTTTCTTAGAGTCCTTTTAGTCATCTCCTTTAGGGCTACATTGGGCTAGATTATTGATATCAAAGAAGGTATTCATATGTAAACCCATCTCTCAATAATTCCAAAAACACCTGAGCTGGGTGGAGGTCTGCATGTGTCTGGGTGTGTAGGAGGTGGTATTCTTTGGGCTCGTAGAGCGGGTCAAGATCAGAATGCAGCTCCGGGGACTAAAAATTATGGGCTTCAGCTTCAGATACACCCAATGGAACCACACTGCACCCTTTACAAGCTGCATGGCCATGGGGGTGTTATTTAGTCTCTGAGTCTCTGAGACTCAATTTCCCCATCTGTACAAAAGAGGGTGTCACTTCCTCTGATCTCACACATTGTTGTAAGGATTACCCTCAGACAGTCACCAGCATCCCCTGGGCTGGTTATTGATCCCTCCTATGCACCAGGCCCCTGATCTCAGGGCTTTGCTTGGATGCTCTCATGGGAGCCACTCAAGAAGCTTAGGAAGTGAGACTCTCCCCAACCCACAAGTCAGGCACTGAGCTTCCTCCAGTAAGAAACAGCAGAGCCAGGGTGCGGACACAGCAGTCTGATTTCAGGGCCCTCCACACCAGCCAAAACGCTGCTCTTCTTCCTGCATAGTCTGTGAGCAAATGTTCCATTTCTTATTCCTGTCTCTTAAGGCCTTCACAGAAACCTCTTCAGGAGACCCAAGACTAACCTTTCAAATGGGTGTCTCCGGTAGACTATATGGTCACAAAGTCCTGGACATCAGAGCCACGATTCTTCTTCTTCTAGGGAAAGCAAAAGGCACATGGAAAGGATTAGGACATTTCCATCAGGTCCTGACTTAACGGGAACACATGAAGAGACAATCACTTGCTACTGAGTAGAAGGTGCTCTTCAAGAGAGGTTGCTGAAGCTTAAATTGCCAGCAAGCCCCTGATGGACACATTGGCCAGCCTCAGAGTCCATCTCAGAGTCCACTCTCCCCTGAGGCCCCTGTCACATAACCCTTCCCTCTCACCTAGAGTCAGGGCCAAACAACTCAGCACCTCATCACACTCAGGTGTATTTTGCCAAAACTCATGCTGATACAGCGCATGAGTGCTCTATCACACACGATACTGGGGCTCCCACGACTACAAAGATGAGTCACACACAGAAACGGCTTCTTCCAAAACTTTTCAAATTCAGTAACAACAGTAATATAAATTCCACAAAGAGATTTAAGAAGACAAAGAAAGAGTCTCCAGTTTCAGGACTGAGAAAAGCAGTGGCATTTGGTATAGGTCTTAGACAGGAACTGACTTGTGGGCTGCTCTGGAGGCAGCAGTGGAGACGAGGCTCAACACAAGAGCTGGGGGTGCCCTGGGGCAGGCCCTGACTACCACTGGGTCCAGTCTGCAGTGGACAATGGGGAACGGATGAAGGTTTTTTCAATCAATGTCTGAGGTGGAATTAAGGAACTAATGATTTGATAGATTAGGGAAGAGAGTGAGTGAAGGCTGGATATCAGTTCATGAGTCATTTTATTAGTTCACTGAGACGGCGTGAGCCAAGGTCTAACACTGAGAATGGCAAGGAAGGGTCAGAGGCTTCGTAGTTCTGGGGGAAAGAAACCATGTCAAATTTGTGTAGTGGTCCTTCCTCTGGCCCCAGAACCCTGGCTAATTCTGCAGTAGGTGCTGAGTTCTAGTAGATTCCTAGTTGATTCCTAGTTTGGGAGTGCTTTGCCCCACCCCAGCTGAGAGCTGCTTCTGATGGAAACAGGTTATGCACAGATGGTTGGGGACGTAAGAAAGACTGTGAGCCATCGCATGTCACCTTAAGGGTGACACACAGAGGGCAGAGAACTCTAGGATATTAACTTCTAAGAAAAAAAAAATCCTTCTTAAATTTAGTGACAGTCAATATGCTATTAAAGTGGTTACAAAATAGTAAGTGCTTTTAAGCTTGATGCCAAAGAGACAAAGAAAAATATATGAAAGACTTAAAAAATAGAATTTAGGTTGAAATGGTAAAGTTTTGGATCAGAATTAAATTTTCAACATAAAGGTGAATTCTGATTTTGTAAAACATATCAGAAGCAAGATTATTCCATAAATAAGCCTTCTGGAAAACTGCAGCCTCAATATTTCATTGAAAAGTAAGATATACTAAGTTTGAAAATTGACTTTCAGGAACGCTAAAACTGTATGGTGCAAGAAAGGTTCTGGATGCATCGCTCAGGTCCCCTGTGCCCAGCAGCCCACCACCGGCAGGAAAGCGGAGCAGCGAGGCTCTACCTGGACTCCAGATGGGCCCGTCACCGGCAGGAAAGAGGAGCAGCGAGGCTCTACCTGGACTCCAGATGGGCCCGTCACCGGGAGGAAAGAGGAGCAGCGAGGCTCTACCTGGACTGCAGAGCTCAGCCCCGGTCCTGAGTATTCTCCGCTACAGACACTAATGTGCCTGTTTTTGGGTTGGTATGAGGAGTGAGTTAATTTTTGTAAAGCAGTTAGAAGAGTGCCTCCACAATGCTGCATAATTATAACTGTAACAACTAGATTTATAAAATGGAACTTGTTTTTCATTTAAAAAAATCCATCATCACTCTTGAACTGTCTATTCGCTTCAGGTACCAGCAGATGGATGGATGCAAAAGGTGATTTTACCTGTTGTTGTTTTTAAAAAACATTCTTAAACACTTTTTAAACTGTACAGTGTCATTAATTATCTGCCGTGGTTTCTATACTGTCCTGACATGTCAAAGTGTATTTGGAGACCAATAAGCTTGGATAAAAATACATTGGTGGAAAATTGGCTCAAAATAGGTTGGTAACCCTAATAAGCAGTTTATGTAGTCTGGGTGAGGTACCCACTAGGTAATAAGTCTATTTTTATTTGACATCAGTACCAATTATCAAGGAAAGGTATATTCAGACACAAATAAAACTTAGTGCCGATGCTGAATTTAGAAGTAAAGTTAATTTCAATAAAAACTGGATGTGGAAAAAGTGAGTACCTAAGGCATAGTCATTCCAAGGCTTGTTGGTCAGTGAAAAAGTTCCATTCGAAAACCTCAGGAAATGGAGAGGATGAGGAGCAAAGGTGGAAGAAACAAAAATGTATCAAACCCATGCTATGCCAGGGCAGGGCACCAGCCACCCTAACTGATGGGCATGTGAGACCAGTCCCAGTGGGCCCAAAGGCTTGCATGACATCTTGCCTGTAACGCATCTTACCAGTTGAACATCCAAGATGTTTAGTAAAGTTACTTGGGCATTACACATCTGTTTCTGTGTTAATTATATAATCCACAATTATTTGGATGGAGACAACATGAAGGAGGCAGAGAAGCCAGTTAGGAGGCTGCAGTCACACAGGGGAGGCATGTCACAGGCCGCGGTAACCATGAGAATGGAGAGAAATAGACAGATTCCAGAGGTAAGTAGGGGATATCAGGTACAAAACATGGATGTAAATTAAACATACGATGGGGGATCAAGGGAGAGGAAGGAAACAAAGAAGATGCCCGGACCTGGCTGAGGCTGCTCCATGGACATCCTTCCCTAGGAGGGTCACTGACGGTGAGGCAAGGTGCAAGGAAATGAGATTAGTTTAGGGATGGGAAGATCCAGGTGGAAACGTCTAGTACACAGGAAGACATATGGACCTGCAGCTTAGGAAAGATATCTGCGCCAAAGAGTCAGATGAGGAATTTGTAATATAAACATCTGGTAATCAAGGCAATGAGAGTAGATGGAGATTTCATTGTAAGAAGTGACTACAGTGTGAGGGCTTGCTTATTCCCAATACTCAGTCTGTAGTCTAAGAGTCTCCTACACATAGGCTTGTATAGGTAGAGCTAGAACAAGCGGAGTATTAGAGTTAAGATTTGGTACCCAGTGCAGACCAAACCAGGTAAGCACAGAATTTAGAATTCTGAATTTCGTTTAAAGGAGGCATAGTTCTCCTGAATGGACATTACTATATATTGTCCAGAACTTTATATGTTTATAGGTTATATGTGTGTATGTATGTGCACATAAGACAATGAAGTAATTCATTTTATATAGGATTTAATAATTTAATAATAAACAGTTATGGTGAAAATACTCTACCAAACAACAAATACATTATTTTTAAAACGCAAACTGCTCAGAAAAGCATTTTAAGGCCGGGTGCAGTGGCTCATACCTGTAATACCAGCACTTTGGGAGGCTGAGGTGGGTGAATCACGAGGTCAGGAGTTTGAGACCAGCCTGATCAACATGGTGAAACTGTCTCTACTGATACAATTAGCCAGGCATGGCGGCACATGCCTGTAAATCCCAGCTACTTGAAAGGCTGAGGCAGGCGAATTGCTTGAACCCGGGAGGTGGAGGTTGCAGTGAGCCAAGATTGTGCCATTGTACTCTAGCTTGGGCATCAAGAGTAAAACTCCATCTCAAAAAAAAAAATTTTTTTAAAGCATTTTGGCTGGGCGTGGTGGCTCACACCTGTAATCCCAGCACTTTGAGAGGCCAAGGTGGGCAGATCACAAGGTCAGGAGACTGAGACCATCTTGGCTAACACCATGAAAGCCCATCTCTACCAAAAATACAAAAAACTAGCTGGGCGCGGTGGCACGTACCTGTAGTCCCAGCTACTCTGGAGGCTGAGGCAACAGAATCGTTTGAACCTGGGAGGCGGAGGTCGCAGTGAGCAGAGATTTCGCCACTGCATTCCAGCCTGGGTGACAGAGCAAGACTCCATCTCCAAAAAATAAATATAAAAATAAAATAAATAAAATTAAAAAAAAAATGAAAAAGGCGTTTTAAGTAATTTAATACCAGCACAAGATTTGCAGTCTACAAGAAAAGGAATGAGAAAGAACCTCATTTAAGGTTCAGATAACTCTAGCATCTGATCTTCAAAAGACTGACAGACAGGAGAAGAAGAGGAAGAGCAAGAAGCCGTGGTCACCTGGGCATTGAGTCTGGAGTGGAGCTTGTGGTCTGACAACCAGGGGTGCTTGAGAGCTTCGCTTGCACTGATTCGCCAACTAGAGGGAAATTCAGAAGGTGATTAGTAGAAACACGCCGAAGGAGGCCTGTCGCTGCTGTTCAGTTTCAGCTCCAGCCTCTGCCTTTGAGAGGCCAGATGGCCGAATGTCAAACTCGTGGTCAATTCTGCCTTCTCTTGGATTGTATGCTGTCAACGATGGCATAGGTGACTATCAAATCCAATCAGGATAACATTAGTAAGGACAAACAAGGCAAATAATCAAAATTCTTCTTAATAACTAAACATTTACTGTCAAATATAACCATTTCTGTGATATAACATCTGAGCTTAGTAAAGTGAACTCCTATCAGTCAGTTGAAAAATAAAGATATATTTACTACTGTAAGAATGAAATGCTACAATGATTCCTGATGATTGCCAAAGCAATGTGTGTATTAAAACTTCTGAATAATAAATATTACTAACTTTTGTAGGGAAATAGAGTTAATGTAATTATGAAGAGAAGGACCATTAGAAACTTTTATGAAGAAACAATATCCTTTTGGAGCTAGCAAAGGTTTATATAATTTTGGAAAATAATATGAGAAAGAATAATATTGAGTTATTATATTTGAATTCTAAGTGCTATAAATTTGTTTGATGTGCTAACATTTATCACATTAAAACAAATAACCTTTGAAAATAAAAGCTGTAAGTGAATGCAACAATCTGAAGGCAAAGAATTAGTTTCAAGCAGCATGAAAGCTTCAATTTGTAGGATCGCTTCAATGCAACCACTTCATCAGATACCAAAGTATTTAAATATCAGATTTGAAGAGGAGATGAGTATTACAGTCAGTGAACTTGGAAAGAACATCACCATTATAGTGCCCAAAACAGGCGGAGGTAATTTTTAAAAACCTCTTGAGCGCCACCAGCCTCAGGTGGAAGTGTGGTTCTGCTTAGTGTCATAAATTTTCAGTACTGGACCTCCGGAGCATTCCAATGGCTGACGAAGGTGAAAAACGATGATTCTGTACTCTAGTGTCAAACTTTTAAAATCTGGCTATTAAAAAGTTAACAATAACATTGTACTAATAATTAAACTTTGAATACCATTTCAAGTTTATTTTTGTACCCCAGAAATTCATTCTATGATAGTGGAGTTTGGCTTTTGGCTTTCATTTCATCCAAACATTGATTGGAATTCTAAGCCAGTTGCCATTGGCCCAAATGTGTATCTGATGCTCCTTGGGCATTAATGAAGCCCTCAGACTGAAAGGATGAGTGGCACCAGAGCCCACTGGGCCCACCTCTGCATCTGCTCGGAGCTGGCCATGTGACTGTGGCACTGCTCTAAGCCTCAGTTTCCCCATCTGTAAAATGATAGTCTCTACAGACCACAGGATTATCCAGAAGCCAAATAAGATAACACATGAAAGTACACATGTAAAACAGGTTCACAGTAAATATGGATTTCTCATCCTCCAAAGATTTGATAGGGCTTACAGTTTCCATCTATTCACTGCCTTGGGTAGGGTCATGTGCCAGTAATAATAACCTTGGCTATATTGTGCCTTGACAGAAAGGCACAATGACAGCCAAGGTTATTATTATTATTAATCCACTATTTATGAATTGTCCCTCCTGTCTTACTGATATTCTTAACCTGGCTAGGTTCTCCTCATCCTGAGACTCAGTTTTATTACATTTTATTACATCTTTTTAAAAAACACCTTAAAAAATAATAAAATAAAAAATACCTTATCCCTTTGATTAGATGGTGAGTTACTAAAGGCAGGGACTGGATTTATGCACACGACGCATTTCCTGGCACACAGTAGGTGATCAACGCTTGAAGAAAGCATCTCCTGCCAGGCTCTGTGCCACACCCACTGCCCACACTGTTTCCCCACTCCCTGTGACACACTCCTACCTACTGATTCCTGGCCATGTGTATTAATGACTTTAAAGCCGTAAAGATAATAAAATGATAAAGCAAGTGCTATTGGCCCTGAAAATCTCAACTGCTTCAATTGTTACATGGTTCAGTTATAAAGCCATCTGAAACAGCGTGTTCGATGGGTTAAAATCACAATGCCCTTCTCCCTCTATGATTCTAAAATGCAGATCCCTATATTTCAATGTTACTCTTTTTCATCCACTGAATTTTGAATTAATGTGGTTTTAGCATGACAGAAAATAGAGGGCCATGTAATAAATAACAGCCAAGTGTGTGGCCTTGGGGGAAGGAGAACTACTTGCTTGAGCCTCCGTTCCGCCAATTACTAGCGGTGTGATCACGGACCAGACTTCTTGGGATCTTCTACCTCATCTCTGCCTCATGGAGTTGGGGGTGGGGTGGTCGTTAAAAGAGAGAATGTCTACAAAGCACTTGGCATGATCTGGCCTGTAGTAGGTTCTCGAGTGAAATGGTAGCTAAAAGATTCAGCTACACAGAACCATATACAGCTTCGCAGAGGTGAAAGGAATCCTAGAAATAACTTCTCCCAAGCCCTTCATTTTGACAATGAGTCAGCTGAGGCCCAGCAGGAGCCCATGACTTGTATATAGCTGCATGGTGAATGGCAGGAGAAAGGTTTGTGTAGCTTCATGACCAAAGCAGCCCCAGATCTCAGTAGATTGGGTCAAGAGGATCAAACCTCATCCTACCTACAACTTTGCTCAAGCATCACAGATATTATCAGGGAATGCATTCTAAGAGCCCTGGTGGTGCGCACTGCTTCCTGATTGTCCCTACTTTGCCCAGAGCACAGGCAAAACTTGGATTACCTCTTCTCCTTAATCAGAAGCTTGGAGATGAACTCCTTGGCCTCATCTGAGATGTCCTGAAATTCTTCATCCTCCATGTCCCACCTGCAGGCCAGGATGTTGTTCAGCGTCTCAGCATCATTGTCACCCAGGAAAGGGGACAAACCGCTAAGTCTGGAGGACACAGGGTCCAGAGTGAGTATTTTTTAAACAGCCTCAACCCCTTTCCATACAAGTTGCTTTTTCGGTTCTGCCGTTTAAAAGTGAGAGAAGGAAAATAACCTAATCCTGAAGTGTAATTTTATAATATATTATTGCAATCAGGAAAATGCTTGCCACCTCCACCCAACTCCTAATTCAACAACTGCGGCAATAAAGACAGCAGCAAAGGCCAAGCCCGGTGGCTCACACCTGTAATACCAGCACTTTGGGAGTCTGACATGGGTGGATCATGAGGTTAGGAGTTCGAGATCAGCCTGGCCAAGATGGTGAAACCCTGTCTCTACTAAAAATACAAAAATCAGCCGAGCGCAGTGGCAGGTGCCTGTAATCCCAGCTACTCAGGAGGCCAAGGTAGAAGAATTGCTTGAACCCAGGAGGGGGAGGTTGCAGTGAGCTGAGATCGCACCACTGCACTCCCAGCCTGGGTGACAGCGAGACTCCCTCTCAAGAAAAAAAGAAAAAAGACACCAGCAACAACAGAATATGAATCTCAAAGAAGAGTGCAGCTTCCTCTTTAAAGTACTTTATAGCTTGCAAAGTGCTACTACATGGTCAGATGGCAAACGCCAAGCATGTCACCTCTGAGGGGTGAGACTAGCCTGAGTCATTTAGGAGATCAAATAGCAAAATCTCAGAAAATACGGATGAAGTTGGAAAAGGGTAAGAGAGAGAGGAGAGCTGCTCACAGCATATAGGCGATGACCCCCACACTCCACATGTCTGTCGGAAAGGAAACAAAATCATAGTTTACAACTTCAGGGGCGAGAAATTCTGGGGTTCCAAAGTTCACCTTCAGCTTCTCTCTGGGTTTGTATCTGGAATTTAAGAGACAAATGGAAGAATGGAAGTGTCAATCAAAAATCATGAACATTGAAATGAGGCAGTCTATGAGACAAAATAACTTCAGCCATACAGCAAACCTCAAATAAATAAACATTAAAGAAAATCAAGCCATTAAGCAAGAGTGTCAAAAACTTGTAAAGGGGCCCCAGAAAATTTTAAAGTCAAAATTCATACTGGAAAACCTTCATAAGCTGAACCGGTTGTGGGAGAAGCTGCTGTGAATAATTAGAGCATCTGAATTACAGAAGATGACAAGAGGAAAACTGATACAGGCATTGACATGGGGATGACTCAAATAAAGCCGTATTAATGAATAAACAGAGTGCTGCAATAATTTACAACATCCATTTTATACGCATCGTTAATGTGCTGAATTGTTAACGTGTCCACGTAAACGCTTTGTTCCCTGAAGAAGCTTTTATGTGCCAGAACCCTTTGCAATCGTGTTTACGTTGTTAATATTTTTAAAGTAAATCTTCTCTGTACAGATGGAAAAAATATGAACGATGAGGACAAACTCTTGCCAATGCTAAATTAATGGCTTCTAATTTAATAAACTTCACTGTATTAGGTTTTAATTTTTTATACTTTTTATTGCATGCATTGTAGAAACGTCTAAACACTCAAATCTCAAATTTAGCAAGTTAAGGCCAAACATATATTTTGTTAAATTAATTATAAATGAGATCACAAAACCAAGGAGCAAATCAGATATACATTTGCAAAGACAGGGCACCCATCATGTCCCCTAACTCCATTCATATATCTATGTCCAAATAGACGTACCTTCTGGCCAATCCAAAATCAATAATTTTTATTTGCTTAGCATCCCGATTCACACACAGGATATTCTCAGGCTGCCAGGAGAAAGAGACACATTAGCAATGAAAACAACCATCATTCACTCAAATTGTCCTTGAACCACAACTAAAAATACAACGATGCTCAGAAAAAACATATCAGGCCTTTCACTTCGGGGCGGGCTTGTCCGTGTGGGTATTTTCTCCTTTAATTATGTGGTGGATGAGGTTGCGGGTATCCTGCCAGCCCTGCATTATCCAGCCTGTCCTCTCCACGGCTTCACAGTTCACCATAATGCCTGAGTTCAGGCAGAGGCCTTGAGGAGATCCAGAAGAGGGGGCCGCTCAGTCCTTCCCAAATGCACTGGTGGAGGCCCGCTCAGGACAGACATCTGCCCCTCTAAATTATTCAGTATGAATTTCCCCTTCCTGAAGAAATATTTTTCTTAAGATTTATGAGTTCCAAGAGAATTGACCTGATCCATTGAAACAGCCACACTGAACATGCACTGTAATGTGAACGTTCCGGCCTCCAGAGCTTCCCTTTGCTCAACGCCTATGGGAAAGTCGTGCGGCAGAGGAGAGCTTTTCTCTCCAGTCATTCTTCAGTCTCAGCAGCTCCGAGGTTTTGCTGAGTTTGGTCTCAATGCCTAAAACCCCTGACAAGTGTGCCCTTGGAGCTAGGCTCTGGTAAGACCTTACCCTGCTAACCTGACAGTCTTGGGGTGTACGGGGAGAAAAGTGGGTTGTAGTGCAGCTACTCAGTGATTACAGAATGTCTTACAAGTGCATCTAAGGTTTTTTGGGTAGAAAAACAGAGGTCTGAGGAAAGTAAGGGATTTGATTTAAAGCCAAGGCTATTTATAAAAGAGAAAAAAGTTTTTGAAGAGTCAAGAACCCTCACATTCCAGTCCCAATGCTTCTTTATGAGCTAGAGGCCACCAGCTCAGAAGCTGAATGCCCAGGATCCCATTCCTCAGCCTTTAGTGGGATCAGGCTCCCCCTCTCCAACCTGTCTGGGTGGAGAAGAGGTTCCAATGGGATCAGAAATTCAGAAACACATTATGAAATGACATAGTGTCTCCTTATCAATATTCAATAGTCCATTTGGTTGGGTAGGATTTCTTTGGAAGCGCTTTTCTAAAATATCACTAAAACAGATGTCTGTGAGTAAAAATCATTATAGAGAAGGGGGTGCTAAGTAAAACATTTGGTTTCATGCTTCAGTAACTGATCAATCATGTATAAAGCTGTCCAATTGTGAAGGAGTATTGTGGCATCAAAAAGTTTGCAGAATACAGAGAAACTGCTTTGAGGGCATTTCAAAAATTAGCCTTTTTATGGTTATAAAATTAAAGAATGTTCATTGGATAAAATTTGCAAAACAGAAAAATATAAAGCAGACTGTTTGTAAGCCACCTATAATCTCCCCCACATAGTGACAAACACTCAATATTCTTGGCTCTTTTCCTTCCAAGAAGCTTTCAGAAAAGCAGCTCCTTGATGACCCATCCAGCTGTCACCTTTATTGTGACCTTTGCATCCACGCCATAACTAAAATTGCCCACTGCAAGTCCTCAATCAATGTTATGAAGCCCCATATGGAGTCATTTGACTTACAATAGGTTCGCTCTTAGTTCCAGTTGCCAATCAAATCCCTGTAGGGATATCTGCAGAATATCTACATTCAATGAAAATGCTCCAAGAAAGCATGCATTATCAAACTCAGTTCATAGTGAGCGTTTTGCTAATGATTTTTAACCTCTGACTGTGTCATTTTATAAACCACTTCCTCCTGCGCTCCTCCTGCTCGAAAGTGAATGGGAAAGGCAAGGCACATAAATCAAGACAGTGAGGGAAGCCAAGTTATAGGAAGAGAGGCCCATGGAAACCTATTTAAGGAGGCTACATTTATTTTGCTATGCAATCCCTACTGACTTGCAATAGATGGGATGTTATAGAGAACATATATTTTATCTCACTGTCACGCTGTGCAAACAGGAAAATGAGAAAATGACCGAGCCACACAAGATGTACTTCACGGGTACGTAGTCCCAATATGAGACTTGATCAGGGTTATTGGGCCTAGGTCTTTTATTGTACTAAGACTATGTACAGTCCAACTCTAGGAACTTCTTAGTGAGAGAGGTAAGGAGGGAAGGGGGAATCAATAGGAGGATAGAGAAAGGCGGCTTGGCTTATCCTGTGTGCTTTCTACTGTTTGCAGTGGGGTGCACGCCCCATCCTCCCTGCTCCTTAGCATTTCAGCCCCATCCTTCCGACTGCCCTCTGCTCCATTCTCCATAGATTCTATTCCATGGTGCAGCAAACCCACAGAAAAACAAGTCCCAAAGTCCAGGGCTTCCTGATTGACTCAAGGAGCTGCCGGCGATTCTTGGGGACCTAGAAAGGTTGGCTACTACTTAAGGAATTCTGAGTTAGCTAAAATCCTCCCACCTACTTTTCCAGACGAGAAGGGATCTGTGTGGTATCCCTCTCATCTGGACAAGTGGTGGTGGTGGTGGTGATGGCTGTTTTAATTCTAAACTTTTTGGGAAGCCATTGCCATATAGATTTCCTTAAAACAGGCAAGAATCTGAATATTAGCCCCTGAAGATGGAACGTGCAAATATTAGAGGGTGACAGAGCTGAGAATAAGGAGGTGAGGGTAACCATCTGGATGTTTATTCATTTCTGAAATGACTGTACCAATTTCCCCTGTGTAATAGCAGACAGGGCCCACTGAGCTAGGGGTGGGAAGGGCTTAGGTCTCACAAGATACAAAACACGCTCTACCTTCAGGTCCAAGTGAAGAATGTACATCTGATGCATGTGCCTTATCCCCTCACATATTTGCTTCATGAACAGGATGGTATCAAGCTCCGTCAAATTGTAGTTCTCGTCAATGATGCGGTCAAACAGCTCCCCACCATCCACACTGCAGAGGGAAGAGGAGCAAAGCCCTCAGTCCTGATTTCCCAACCACCGTGCGCCTTTCTTGTAGCGACTCATTGTGCAAGTTCTGCTACCTCTTCTGAAAGGTGTATGTGCAGTTATTTCTCTGCCTTCTTTGCTATCTTACTTAGATGATTCTTATCTAGAAGGCCTATATTTTGTACATCTTCAATCTCGCAAATGGAAATCCTCAAAGCCCCCCCCCGCCGCCACCGCCACCTTTTTAGTGTGGTTTTTTGTTTTTTTGAGATGGAGTGTCACCTAGACAGCGTGCAGTGGTGGGATCTTGGCTCACTGCAACCTCTGCCTCCCAGCTTCAAGCGATTCTCGTGCCTCAATCTCCCAAGTAGCTGGGATTACAGGCACGTGCCACCACGCCCAGCTAATTTTAGTACTTTTAGTAGAGATGGGGTTTCACCACATTAGCCAAGCTGGTCTCAAACTCCTGATCTCAAGTGATCCACCCCCCTTGGCCTCCCAGTGTGCTGGGATTACAGGCATGAGCCTCTGCACCTGGTCCTCAAAGCCCATTTATCCAATGTCTTCAGCTCTGGGGTGAGCCCACATGTATCATGCTCTAAAGATGTTGAAGAGAAAGAGGACCCTAAGAACTCTGGGAGGGGAACTCCAAGCCCTGACTGAAGGTGGTCAGGGTCTCAGCCCTCTAAGTCTCCAGACTGAATTCAGTGATAAAGTGCTTCTATGTGTCTGGTGCTAGACACAGTAATTTCCCTTATCCTCAGGGACACGTTCTAAGACCCTCTGTGGTTGCCTGAAACTGTGGATAGTACTGAACCCTGTATATACTATGTTATTTCCTGCAGATACATACCTCCGATAAAGTTTAATTCACAAATTAAGCACAGTAAGCAATTAACAGCAATAACTAAGAGTAAAGTGAACAATTGTAACAATATGCCAGCTTCACTACTCTTGTGCTTTCGGGCCATTATGAAGTAAAATGAGAGTTCCGTGAACACAAGCGCTGCGATACCTCCACAGTCCATCTGATGACCCAGTTGGCTACTAAGTGACTAACTGCAGGGAGTGGTGGAGACGCTGGACAAAGGGATGATTCACGTCCTGGGTGGGACCGAGCGGGATGGTGGGAGATTTCATCAGGCTACTCAGAACAGTGTGCAATTCAAAACCTGTTGATTGTTTACTTCTGGAATTTTCCACTTAATATTTTGAGGCCTCAGGTAACTGAGACGGTGGAAAGTGACAGTGTGGATAAGGGAGGACCACGATACTATACTTTTTATTCAAAATGCCTTCTTGCAGAATGAAAAACAAAATGGAATCACAATATGGATTCAGTGTTGGAAATGCAGTCGGCCCTCCCTATTCGTGGGTTTTGTAATCACAGGTTCAAACGATTGCAGATTGAAATGTTTGACCAAAAAACAATAAAAATTGACAATACAACAACAAAAATAATACAAAATTTTAAAAATATAATATAACGACTGTTTACATGGCATTTACAGTGTATCAAGTATTATAAGTAGTCTAGAGTTGATTCAAAGAACCCAGGAGGATGGGCATAGGTTAGATGCAAAAGACTATGCCATTTTATATCAGGAACTTGAGTGGCCTCTGGTTTTGGTATTTGTGAGGATCCTGGGACCAATCCCTCTCAGATACCAAGTAATGACTGTACCCAGTTTCTAACTAACCAGTCCTTAGGTTTTTATAAAGGTGAATTTAAATGGAAGCTTCTTAGCCCTAATCATCAACAGTTTTTGACATGAACTTTGTATTAGTGAATATGTTGAAAGAAAGATGTAGCTCAAAAACCACTTTCCTCAGGTTGCCCTGGCTAATATTTAAGCTTGGTTTTTGATGAACAGCTTGGATACAAAGCTAGACCTACTTGGCCCCACTATTTCTTAGCAATAAAATCCTATATTGAGATGCGTAATTCCAAGTAGTTTCCCTTGTAGAACTGATGTGATTGTGTGATCTGCCGGAATCAGAATCTGCTGGGGCAAGCTTGGTTCTGGTCCCTCTATAGCAGGACGGAGCTGCTGGTGCACGGTCATGGTCAAGTGTGCTGTTGGGGAGGTCAGGGAGGGAGCAGGGGGGATGCGTACTACTCCATGACCAGGACAATGTCATCCTTAGACTCAAAGGCATCGTAGAGCTGGATGAGGTTCGCGTGGTCCAGCTGGTTCATGACGCTAATCTCATTCTTCACCTCCTCCTGAGAAGCAGGAAACAGTGCATTAGTGTGGTCAAGACAGCGCGGGGAGGGAGGAGCTGCCTCCCACAGGCTGTACCTTGTCCTTCATGCCTCTGGTCTTGATGATTTTGGCTGCCAGCTTCAGACCTGTGGCCGTCTCCTCACACTTGTGAACCTGGCCGAAACGCCCTCTGCCAAAAAAAAAAAGGAAGTCGCACAGCATGAGGCCCCATGGTCAGCTGCCAAGTAGACAGGACACAGTGGCCTTCTCCTTCTGAGTCTGAATGAGCAGACCCATGAGTGCATCAGCCTTGTTCAATAAACTCCTAGGCAGCATTTGTCAAAGTGTGGTCTGCGGGTCACTTGCATCAGAATCACCTGGAAGCGGTGAAGAATGCAGGTTTCTGGGCCCCACCCCAAGCCTCCTGAGGCAGAAATCCAGGAGGAGGCCCCTGAATCTACATTTCAGCCCATTTCTTGGGTGATTGATATGCACCCTAACATTTGAGAACCACCTTTACAGACCATGCACAACTTTCTGAATACATGTGAATGTGATAAGCTGGGCTTTGTTGGCATATGAACAAGAGCCTACCTTCAGATATGTGAAATTATTTTTGGAAGCTGCATATGTAATTATACTGCATATATCTCCATATAGTCAAGACTACATGCTGCCCAGGCACGTATGAGCTTGAATGTGAACATTAGACAGCTTCTTACCTATGTAATCACACACAGATGTGCACACTTGTGAGCGGTTTTAAATTTAATTTGCTTACTTTGATTTCCTATTCAGTAAAATAAGCTAGAACATGTGTCCCTGCTCTGCAATGGTGGCTGTCACAGTAGGGAGTAAGGAACGGCTTCCCTAGCAACACAGGGAACCCAAGGCAAGCCCTGTGACAAGGCCGAGGACTTCAACGATGAAGTTCATGGCAACGCTGGGCAGACGCAGGGGTACTGGCAGCCACTGCATCCCATTGTGGGGCTGTACACCCAGCACAGAAGCAGATGGATCTTGGAGAATGACACAGTATTACCGTAAACATAGCCATGGGGTGACTTCAATTCCAACCTCTGTTCCAGACAGGGTCTCTATGGGAACACATGGACACAGCCCCAGCCACCTCTTCAGTGGCTCTTATAAAAATGTTTTTTTCCCTTCACTAGCAATGGCCCCAGAACCTCCTGGACCAGCAGTGGGGCCCATCACTGTCTGACTTCCCAGCTCCCTCAACCCTGTAGCTGTTTCCCCTGATTTATTCTCCAAGGCCCGGAAGGTTGAGGCCAACTCCCAAGATTCATGCTGGCTCAATAGCACAGTGATAACCTTATGCTCACTGAACATGGCAAGCAGGGATGTTAGATACCCTCGAGGCCACAGGGCAGGAGATGAACCCCCAGGAAAACTCAGGGGCTGCTGCATCGTGAACCTCCTCCCCCTAAAAAGGAGGTGCAGCACTGGTGACGTCTGCATTTTGAAGGCATCCATGCACATTTCATCATGCTCCTTTAACTTATTTGCTGAGTGAATTATGGCTGCCAATTTTGGTAAAGCCCATAACAAGAGCTGATGGGCAGCTGGTCTAGACTACGGTACCAAAGGGAAGATTCCATGATGCCCAAAGAGACAGAAAGGAAATTTCAAGGAGCCACTGGCAAACCTTGACCAGAAAAAACAGCACAAACCCTGGGAATTATTTCAAAGCTTCTTCTGCAAATAACTATTCTCGGTTAGAGAAATAGTTGCTGGCTTGCCACTGAAGTCCCTGAAGACCCAAATACCTCAGGCCTCCATGGCACCACTTCATGCTGTGGAATTCCTGTTTCTCCCTCAGCCCATCCCCGCAGTCTCATGGGGCATTCTCCAAGATCAGCCAGCTCAGGAAGGAAAAGTCCAGGTGGTTCCATACGGCAGAGGGCAAAGAAATACAGAGTGGGAAGAGGAAGAAGGGATTTCACAATATCAATGACTCCCTGAAGACTACTTGCAGAAGCCTGAACTGCAGTGGCAATGCACGCTTTCCTTGTGTTGGTGAGTAAATTTTGTGTGTACACGTCCAAATGTTCTGCTTTCCTCTTCCTATTTTACACAGACATGCTGATGGCAGCAAACGTTGTAATTTAGACTTTGAGTTACAAGATATCATAGGGGGATTGTGAAAGAAAGAACAGCCTCTCCCCACCCTCAGCATGAAGCTGGTCCCTGATGGACTTTAGTCTTCCTTCTTTAGGGAGAGTGTGCATTTAGGTGTCCCTAAAATAATTTATTTGCTGAGCAAAGTATCAATTGAAATGGATAATAGCAATGAATACAGTAACAACATAAATGAAAAACCAGCAGCAATGACAGAAAGACCTAATACAGGCCACAAGAATGACACGCTGTTGACTCATTTCTGTGTTCTGTCTCCTGGAGGCTACACTATGGGCTTTGGATAGCTGGTCAACCTTCTGGTGACTCACAATGGGTTTTTCTTTCTTTTAGACATTACAACATGGGAAGTAAAGCAGATAATAAATGTGGAGTTTAGTCACTACATCAGCCTTTCTGGCAGCAGTGACAATTTTCAGAAATGGTTACAGTTTCTTAAAATGTTTGTTTCTAACGTTGCTAGTTCTCAGGTCAAGATAGGCAGACATTTACAAAGTCGTCTGCCCCGTGTCTTTGCAAGCTCTCTTCTTTTGTTGAGAGAATGTTAACATTCAGCATTACTCACCCTCCTAAGATTTCTGTCTTGCTCACAGTATAGAAGCTGTTGACCGCTGCTTGCTTGGCTGTCACAATACGATGATCAAATGGGGCAGGAGGGGCCGGGACATCAACTAGAAGGTAAGAGAAATGGAAGGGCCATCTGTCAAGCAGTCTCACCTCGTTACGGCAGCAAGCCTGGGACTCATAGTAAAAATATGCTCATTTAATAAGAAAACACAAGGAGCCACCTGTTTGATTCCTAATGATCCAGGGATATAAATTTTCACTTGAGATTATGAGCTGTGACTCACAGAGGTGATACCTGACCCCTCTGAGGAAGCATGTCAGGGCGGCTCAATGGTTATCTATACCATCTTCAGGATCACTTTTAGAAATGTCAGAATAGTTAAGATTTTCCAACCCAACTCAGTCCAAACAGGTTATACTTCCAAGCCTGAGACCATTCAAGTTCAGACATGAGAAACTGTTTCATCCATTTTTAAAAATGCAATACCGATATAACCCGTTATTTTAATTAAAGCAGAGAGAAAAAAATAAAAATGAAACATTTCTTCATGTTATTGAAATGCCTGATATTATATATTACTTTCCAAAATGTTTTAGACTTTATTTAAGACAGATTTAAGGCACAAAGATGAGTTTTTTTCTGACTGGCTGGAAATAAAACACCCAATAAAACCACGTAAGTGTGTATTCAACAGCGATCACATTTCTCCCACTTTCTTCCCTTCCACCTCAAGTGTTTAAACGCTAGTCCACATCAGCACCAGCTCTGACATACAGAATTATTCAGGGATATTCCTCCCAGTATTCTTTTACCTTTCCATGACTACTACTGCTAAAATTGGCTTGCCGTGAACCCGCTCATTCACCATTAATTCATTTATTAAGAAGCTACTGCATGCATATAATAAGAATACAAAGGGAGGTAAGTAAATAACAGCCTTGCTTCCAAAGAAATCGAAATTTATTTAACATACTTTTCCTGAGCATTTATTTTGTTCCAAACACTCTGGCAAGTGTTAATATTTTTTAAAATTCAGATAATATAAATCTCTGGGAATCTGATTTGACATGGACATCACCTCTCACAGCGTAAATATGCTGAAAAATGAAGTCACAAGAGAAGTGTCTTGATAACATTGACTGCTTCAGATTAATAAAATGAGGGAGTTAAATACACAAGCAGCATCGAAATGGCATTATATCTTCTCCAGGCTGTTAGACTAAATGAAATTTAGTCTGAAATGCTTGCTGGAAAGGTTAAAGAGCCTTCAAAGGCCAATACAAAAGCCATTTCCTACCCAATGGGGCCACACGATCTTGCCCTCGGGAGGCCTTCATACCAGCAGGCTCCTGGGGTCTGCCCTGAGAGCTCCTCAGCCTGCCTAGCTGCCTGTGCCTAATGACACATGTGTTCTTCACCTGTGCCCACTACGTCACCTACTCTGCACTTTTTGCTGTCCTCCTTGACGAAGCGCTCCTCTGCCACTCTGCGCTTACTGCTGCCCAGGTACTCTGTTTGGTCCACATTCCAGAAAATGGATCCAACTGCTGAACGTCCAGGGATGCGTGGGGTAGAAATGGCCCTTATGCTGCTGACACACCTGGAAAGTGATATCCAATTGCAGCTCTCCAAGTTTCAAGAAGAGAACTTTCAGATGGTGAAAATTCTTAGAACTGAGGCTCTCCTAAAACAGTGTTTTGGTGACAAGGACGTGAGCTCCGTGATAGAGGTGACCATTTCGGTGCTTGGAGACGACATGGAGCAGCATGCTCTCCCCATCAAGCCTATGGGTGTAGATAACCAGGGTCCCAGGGAATCTCCCCACTGCCCAAATCGTGACCCCAAGTTATTCCAGTGGCCCTTATAAAAGCAGTCATTTTATGAATACCTAACTAATTTGATCTTCATTTTTTCACCCCCTTTCCTTTAGAGAAGATAGAAATTATTAAATTATAGCATGATAAAAGAAACAATAATCTCTCTCAATCTTAACAGCAGTGAGACTAAACCTTTATCAGTGGAAGAATTGACCTAACTTCCATTTCTCAGCAGCTCTTGACCTTATCGAACACATCTGACAGTGATGATGTTTCTTTCTCAGCAATTAGTAGTATTTATGCTTAAATCTTGGAAATTAAATTTCTCCAAGATGAGGTTTCAGATTATCTTGTTTAAAAATAAAATAAGAATTATGTTTTAAATCCGTAAAAAAGGCCACACAAGTGTTTTGATACTTTTTTGGCTCCAAATAGATACTGTAATATGTGACTACCCATAACTTAGAGTAGTTCATTGTAATTGGCTACAATATTACCCGAATCTGTATGTGAAACTTTGTAATTGAGGAAAAAAGTCATTCAATAATCTAGGTCTTAATTCTCACAATATTTGGGAAAAATAGGCAATTTATCTTGAGGGGAATTTTGTATTTTGCTTTTGACCTTGATTCTGTGATTTGGACGTCAACAACTTCCCTAAAAAGCACCAGTATGTTAAGTTCTAATGTCATGACCCAATTTGTGTTATTCATCTTTAATCCTGTTTCAGTCTCTGTGTGTACAGCAGTATTTTAAATAAAGAATTACAGAGGTTAAAAAAAAGTTATCATTTATAATGGAGTAGGCAAGCTTTTTCAGATTTAGGTTTTTAACTTATAGATAAATCTAATCACTTGACCTTAAGAAGGATATGGCCTGTATTGCTGAAAAGAACAATGTTTTACTTGATCTTTAAAAAATACTGATTCCTGTGGGCACTATTAATCATTGTCTTTGTCTACCAGTTGGTAGAAAACATAGAAACTAATAAAACGCCTGAAAATATCACAGGCAAGAAGAAAAAATAATGGCAAGAAAATGTGGCCATGAAAAATTCATATAAGCTGGAAAATCGAGTTATAAATCATTGCTTCAAAAAATTTCTTCACTTATCCTTTTAATAAGGCCTTAAACTGCAGTGGCATACATATCTGCAGGAAGCATTGCTGTGGATATGCAACGCTGTAACCCTACCATTCATGGAATTGGTCACCGTTAGTTTTATACACGTATTGACATTTATCTGGACGTTGGTCCAGCACTGTCTCATATGCAGTTGCCAGTTCTCTTTTCTTCTCATCTTCTCTTCCTCTAGTATCTTCCTTAGAATGAAACCCTTTTTCCTCTTCTTCAGACACTTGATGTTGATTTCTATCTACAGTGGCTTGTTTAATATTCCCAGTACTATCATTTTCTTGTGTATTCAGGCTCTCTGTGCATGAAATGTCTTTTCCATCCATATTCTCTCTTGGCTATACAGAATTTCTTGGAGCAAAATCTTCTACTTCGTCTTGTCTTTCAGTATGAAAGATGGCAAAACTTCTGTGAACCAGAGAGGTATTGGTCTTCTCAGCATTTTTCTTGTTGAGTTTATTAACCTTTCCTTTCTCAGAGGAGAGCAGGTTCTTCTGGGTAGATCTCTCTAGAAGCCACCATAGGACACAAAGTATTTTAATGGAGAATGCGGTATAATTTTGGCTTTCTATAATGGGATCTTTATCCAGGTTTCTTTTTATCAGCAGATATAAGCTTTCAAAAGCAAAGTAGAAGGAAATATAACCGATTGGCTTCCAAAAGATTTTCATGTTTGTAACTAGTGAGACCCAGACAAGCAAAAAAAAAAAAAAAAAAAAAAAAAAAAGTATTTCTTTTTAAAATAAAACAGCACAAGACCAAAAAACAAAACACTGCATGTTCTCATTCATAAGTGGGAACTGAACAATGAGAACACATGGACACATGAGAACACATCACACATTGGGGCCTGTCAGGGGGTGGGGTCTAGGGAAGGGATAGCATTAGGATAAATACCTAATGTAGATGAAGGGTTGACGAGTGCAGCAAACCACCATGGCACGTGTATAGCTATGTAACAAACCTGCACATTCTGCACGTGTATCCCAGCACTTAAAGTATAATAAAAAAAAAGAAAGAAAAGCATCACTTCTTCCTACACAGGGCTTTATGCACATGCAACTTCCTCTCTCTCAATAACAACAGAACTTTTATAATAGAACTTTCTTTATCCATAACTATCTAGTTTTCTGAAGATGTTACCTGCAAGGGCTGATGTCCTTTTGCTTTTGACGGGCATCCTTTCTGCCAGGCCAGCGTTTGACCACAGCTTCTCCTTTGCCTGTGGAGGCACAATCGAGTAATTGAAGTTACAGATCACATCTGGGGTTTTCAGCACTCCTGACACTTGTGCTGGATGATTCCGTGTCGTGGGGAATGTCATGAGCATTACAGGATGTTCAGCAGCATCGTCGGCCTCTGTCCACCAGACGCAAGTAGCACCCTCTCCCAGTTGCGATGACCAAAAAGTTCTCCAGAGATCTATAAACGGCCCCTGACAGCAAAATCACCCATCACCCCAGGCTGAAAACTACTATATGATTCAAACATACAAAAAAAAAAAAAACAAACTAAATTAATAGTAATGTATAGGGCAGAATAGTCTGAATTAATGAAACTCCATAGAGCCTACAGTATCTGAAATGAACCCACTATTTTCAAAGAAATTCTGTAAAACTGTCATTGTGGGAAAAGGCCTATCTTCATGAATAGATTAAAGAATATTAATAATGTGTACGTCACCCTTGACCTCTATTTAAGTTGTCTTGATATGGTTTACATATAAATTAAATAAAAATAAGAGGATACATGTGAATGGGCTCTGTAAGTTAGAGAATAGGAGATGAAAGTCAGCTTTGTAAATGGAACCTTTACAGTGCTTAGAACAGATGGCCCTTTTCCTAAGTGGGTAAACATTCTTCACACAGTCCTGGAGGCTTTGAATTAGTTGAGCAAACCATTTGCTAATGCACCCCATATAAAAGGGAAACCTTAGTTCAATCCACCCAAATTATCACAAATTCTAAAGTTATGCATTATAAATTAATGACATTGTATGGATGTCCCCAAAAAAGTTTTTGTTTCCCCTTTGAAACACAACATAATTTGCCTTCAGCTGATTTGCAAGCATGAAACACCATGTAAGTTCAGAGAACAGATATCGAGACAAATTGCAAATGTGCTTTTTTTTTTTTTTTTTTTTTTGAGGAGTTTCACTCTTGTTGCCCAGGCTGGAGTGCAATGGCATGATCTCGGCCCACTGCAACCTCTACCTCGCGGGTTCAAGCTATTCTCCTCCCTCAGTCTCTCGAGTAGCTGGGACTGCAGACATGCACCACTGTGCCTAGCTGATTTTTCGTATTTTCAGTAGAGACAGGATTTTGCCATGACTGCCAGGCTGGCCTTGAACTCCTGACCTCAGGTGATCTGCCCGCCTTGGCCTCTCAAAGTGCTGTGATTACAGGTGTGAGCCACCACGCAAGGCGGCAAATGTGCTTTTAAACAATTCAGAGGGCAGCTCCATGGATTCAAAGTATTCCTGTGTTTTAGATGATGAACTTACAACATAAAGGCATGTTAATAAATCTGTGGAAAGCCAAGGCTAGAAGTGAGAGCTTCAGGATTTCTCTTAAAGTTTCTCTTTAAGTAAAGGTGCAAAGAGGCCTCTGCCTACTTTTCCCTCTGCAGAGAAAATGAGCTGCAGCTTCCTCAGGCAAAGCCGATTGCTCCCTTCTCTGTGCTTGCACGGAACTCAGCACGTAGCCCCAGCCCTGGTATCCCTTATAACACTTTGTTAAGCTTTTTTTCCTGTCAATATCCCACTAGCTTGTGGAATTCTAATGGGCAAAAAGACTGGTTCATCTTTGACTCCCTGGTGCTTACCCCAGAGACCAGTAGACCAGTATGTAGTGATGATGATGATGATGACGGTGGTGGTGGTAGCGGTCATGATAGTGGGGTCATGATGGTGGTGGTAGTGGTGGTGGTAGTGGTGGTGGTGGTGGTGGTGGTAATCATGCTGATAGTGGTAATGACGGTGGTAGTTATGATGGCGGTAGTGGTAGTGCTGGTGATGGTGGTAGTGGAAGTGATGGTGGTCGTGGTGGTGGTAATCATGCTGGTAGTGGTAATGATGGTGGTAGTGGTAGTGCTGCTGGTGATGGTGGTGATGGTGGCAGTGGGAGTGGAGATGGTGGTAATGGTGGTGGTGGTTGCAGTGGTGATGGTGGTGGTCATGGTGATGATGGTGGTGATCATGATGGTGGTGGTAGTGGTGGTAGTCATGGTGGTAGTGGCAATGGTGGTGGTCATGATGGTGATGGTAGTGGTAGTGCTGGTGGTGATGGTGGTGGTGGGAGTGGTGGTGGTGGTGATCATTGTAGTGGTGATGGTGGTGGTCATGGTGATGATGGTGGTAGTGGTGATGGCAATCGCATATTGAGCACACACACTATGTACCAGTCACTCTTCTAAGCACTTCATTTACCTGGTTGCTCCTAATAGTCCTTTAAGATAGATATTATTAGCCCCATCTTATAAATGAAGTTAGGTAGTTTCACAAGGTTATAAAGTTTATAAATGATAGAGCTAGGATTCTAACCCAGCTGTCTACTTCAGTCTGTGCACCTAATTACCACACTGTACTGCCTTTCTGGAACAAAAAAAAAGATAGAAGGATTATAGCCAAGTTACATGATTCATATTTATTGAGATCTACTACATAGTTGGCCCTCGCCAGCCCCTGGATCTGCCAGCAGCCTGATTTGGGACTTCTCAGCCCCCAGAGAGAAGGTCATAAATCAAAAACAAATTAGCAGAGTGAAGAGATAAATATTTATTGGTCAAAAGATTACAATTAACATGGAAGAGAGGCAAAAAAAAAAAAAGAGAGAGAGAATTTAAGTCCAATTTTGAAAGCATATATCCAAATTAGTCAAATAAGTTTAACAAATTGTGTTTAAGATGTTTTATAACCATCTTTCAGTTCTTCCCTTTTGAAATGAAAACTCCTGGTGTAGCAATAGACATTGTGCTTCTGGATTTATTCTGTGTGGCATAAATGCAATGATATAAGCATATGTGGATTTAATAATGAAAACTGCTATGTATCAGTCAATTTCAGCCCATCAAAGTATATAAAATTGAAGAGCTGGCAGTAAGACTTCGTGGAGTACTGATGGATCCACTTTTGCCTATGAGGCCAACGGAGTGTCAAGTGGAAAAGTCCACATGCTGGGCAAATATTCTTTGGGTATGGAGTCGGACTTGACCAACAGGAGAAGCTGTTGGTATTGAGGAATATAAGCCAAGTGAGGCTGCTTTTTTCTTCAGTGATTATATGTCACATATGTTTTTTCATTTACATGATGTAAGAGGGTCTTTATTCATTGCCAAAGGCTGTTCTATTTTCATTTCCCTATGTAATACTGACATCTAGAGGAACTTTGAATGGAAGAGTTTCCAACAAACAGAAGTTGTATTTCGCCTGTTCCTTCCAGGACGGCAACCTCGTGAATCTCAATATGAAACGTTTTTGCTTTGTATTTCTACGTTATGCCTAGAAGTTGCTAAAATAGGAAACACAAGTCTGTAGATACATCTTGTTTGTTGTCCAAAAATAAAACATGTCTTCTACAGATTAAAGAGGATAGGACCAGTGCCCTTAAACATGAAGTTTCTGACCCAATCCTGACCATTCCCAGTTAATGGGATGAAAACCACATCAGTGACTATGTTCCCCTGTTGAATACACATCGATGGCTGGGATGAACATAAGGACCTCTTTCATGTAAATTCACTTAAAATATTACTATATTTGCATAAGGATTCCTTTGGAACTATTTACCAATTCATTTTATAATAGTTTATCCATGGGTGTAGGATGACGCACGGAAGAAATGCTACATGGTCCAGATGCCCAAGTATTCAAAACACAACTCAGCTCTCTCCACTCTGTCTGGCTTCCTAGACTGGTCTCCTAGGTGGGGCATACGTACCCAGGGGGTGTCCATAGTAGTCCTTCGGAGGGTGTCAAAAAATGCTAGAATCATTTCAATTTATTCCATTTCTTATGGATTGAATGTTTGTTTCCCCCTCACCATATACACACACAAATTCATAAATTAAAATCCTAACCCTCATGGTGATGCTATTAAAAGGTAAGGACTTCGGAGGTGACTAGGTCATGACTAGCAAGCCCTCATGAATGGGACTAGTGCCCTTATAAGAATCAACATGAAAGTTTGCTCACTTTTTATGAGGGGATGGCCACTGCACACTAGTAACTTGGCCCTTGCCAGTCCCTGGATCTGCCAGCAGCCTGATTTGGGACTTCTCAGCCCCCAGAACTGTGAGAAATAAATGTTTGTTGTTTAAACCACTCAGTCCAGAATAATTTGCTAGAGCAGCCCAAGCTAAGACACCATGCTTTTAACATTTATATTTTACATATGTTTTTAAAAATATATTGCTACAATTGGACACATATAAAAGTATCTGATATATTAAATGTTATTTCTAAAAATAAAAGTGCAGCCAGGCGTGGTGGCTCACGCCTGTAATCCCAACACTTGGGAGGCTGAGGTGGGCAGATCACAAGGTCAGAAGTTTGAGACCAGTCTGGTCAAAATGATGAAACCCCATCTCAACTAAAAATACAAAAATTAGCCGGGCATGGTGGCACACACCTGTAGTCCCAGCTACTCGTGAGGCTGAAGCAGGAGAATCACTTGAATCTGGGAGGCAGAGGTTGCAGTGAGTCATCCAGCGTGGGCAACAGAGAGAGACTCTGTCTCAAAATAAAATAAAATAATAAAAATGCATGTAGTGGTTATCAATGTATACAATTTATAAATAAATACATCGGGAAGTCCTTTAAAATCTTTTACCCATGGCAGTGCAAAATCAAAACAATTTTGAGACAATTCTAGATAATATCATGCTTCACATTCTGATTTTCTGAAGTGTGTTTTGGAGAATCATTCTAATTAGCAGGCTTGAGGCCAAGAACATTATTAGAACTCTTAGCTCAATTCCTGCAAACTCTTTTTCTCCTTCTGCAAAGTACTGCTTTTAGGAGTTCGGTATTCGTTGCTCACATGCCATTTTGATTATTTAAACAATTTTTAAGCAAGCACTTTATCCTCTTTTCTCTGTCAACCATCACATTTACTGCCATAGAATCCAGATTCGAAGAGGAGGTCAGCACTGGTCCACAGGTGTGTGCTGGCTACCTGGGCATGAGTGCACTCTCGCCCTACCCTACAGGCCTGTCCCAGTACT